AAGCACATAAATATAGTATCTGCACATCTGTAGTAATCTCATTGCCAATATTTAAAAGTTTGTGAAGAAATATTTCTATATCATCAATATTAGAGTAATGCAATAAGCTATGCGTAAACGTGAGAAGACTGTTTGCAACATTTGTGGCAAAGTTATGAATATTAGACGCATATTCGTTGAAAATATAGGGAAACGTTGTTGAAAAAGCCCGTGAAGAAGGTAAAAATAATTGCTGTAATGGATCTGATTGGTATGAAAGGTCTAAATATGATAATGTTGGTTGAGATTGCTCGCGCTGAATCTGTTGTTTTAAAATTTAAATGTAAGCATTTCATATCTATGTCTCAAACCGAAAAAGAAATTAAGGTGTAATTACCAAATTAAATGGTTGAGAGAATTCTTTTAAATGGGGATCTGTGGTAATAGTTAACACTATTTTATCAAATATCTGATATAAGAATTCCTCAGTAGGCAAAAAAGAATACAAAAAGCCCATAGCATGCATGACCATAGGCTGAACAGACGTATTCTTGCGCCCATTCATAGAAGTTATAATATCCAATGATTCTTTCACTATTTCTTCAGGTAGTATCGGTGTTGCAAGCACTTCTATACAAGCTATATGCAGGGCTTGTATTACGGGATTTGGAATCTCTCGAAAATGACGTTCTGGAAATTTAGCATCAACCTTGGGGGCACATGTATTCGGTGACATTACTATTATGTTAGAAATATGGATTAGTAATTAACAATCTATTGTCTATTAAAATAATGAAATAAATAAATCTTACAGTCGGCTAATTTGCGAAAAACTTTTTCAAAATAAGTAATGTCAAAAAGCTCTGCTAAAAATTCATTAGATCCGGACCCATATTGCAATAACTGAGAGTCAATATCATATTCATCAAAATCTGTTTTTTTTTATAAAATAAAATTATAGATTAAATTAAGTAAATATATAGTAAACCTAACATAACTACTTAACAATCTTTCAAGTGAGTTCAAGTCAGTTTTCCTGAGCTGAACTGATATTGAGGATTGAACTTTAAGAACAAAGTTCGGGCTATTTTTGAATTAACTATGCGAACTAATTAAATCCCAATATATAGGGACATACTAAAAGTTTTGGACTTTCCGCCAGGTAACTGTAAATGAATTACTTACCAAGTAACTTTATTAATCTTGTGGAAATAGATTGGTCTCTCAATGTTGGAGCAGAGTAATAATAATGCAAAAGATCCCTGACGAAAGCAAGGGGTGTCTGATGATATCTATAAAGGTGCCCGTACTTATCCAGTAAATTAGCAAGCATATCCTGTTGTCCGAATTCAATCAATCTCCCAATTACTATGTCAATTATTGGCAATGATCTTCGAATAGCTGTTGTATAATAAATCGGCATATTTGTTACCAATGGTGGTTCCAAAGGTTTATTCACAGTTTCATAACCATTCATTGCAAATGCTTCATATTGAAAATATTCAGGGTATTTTTCAAGATATTTCATTAATTTGTCATGATGATCATCTTCAGTCCAATATCGATGAGAAAATTTCAAGGATATAAAATGTTCAACCCTTCCTGAAAACTCTTCGGATTCAAAA